ACCGCTGACTCAGCATTCTAAGATGTTTAACGCTGACTCAGCATTCTGAGATGTTTAACGCTGACTCAGCATTCTAAGATGTTTAACGCTGACTCAGCATTCTACGATGTTTAACGCTGACTCAGCATTCACACAAATAGATCCGAAGGAGTGAAACAAGCGGCACCGACCTCAGGTTCCAGGTTCTCCTCGTTCACCGTCGGCTGCTTTCGGAGACTGGCGAACGCGTCAGGGAAGCCCCGGTTCAGATCCACACCGTTGGAGTTGTACCTAGAAGAGACAGAACCAAACGTGGATCAGGTAATCTGACAGACCTGAACCAGCTTTTAACAAGTCAAATTGAGACAGGGAGAGGGTCGGACTCTGCTTCTCTTTATAAATCTGACACTTTTTAGAGCCACGTTGTTTCAGTTTGACTCAAGAAATAAAACTTGTTTGTTTTGCTAAAACTAACGTTTCACAGTGAAGCGGTTCTGACACGCCTCAGCAGATGATTAGGCTCTCTAAAGCCAGATTAATGCCTGAAATAAGACCTGAAATCCCAAAGCAAAGAGGAGACCGAGTGGCTGTGGAGTTGGCGTGAAGCAGAGCGTGAAGGAGGAGGAAGCTTAACGAGGTTTCCTCTTCGTTAATGAACAAACGATTTCTAACAGGATGAAGAAAACAAAACAGCCGAGACGCCTTGTTGTGTCCGTGTGACGGAATCGGGTGTTCCTGTTTATCTGAGGGTGCGCCGGTAAAAAAATAAGTATTTAATTATTAAGATCTTTGATAACGACTTGGTAGACTTTCAGACAAAAGCAGGTTTTAATAAACTCTGTTTATGCTTTTATTTTGAAACATTTACCTTTTTGTGTAAAATGGCGCCTTCCAGGTGAGGAAGGCGTAAATTATTAAAAACCTTTTCCTGCGATCTGCTGGCTGCAGCAACGAGTGAGTCCTGATTTAAACATGGCTACTGAGGTCAAAGGTCACACAAGCTCATAGCTCCGGCGTGCCTCAGGCTGTTGTGTTTATACTTTTGTTCACTTTAAATGAGGGAATTTAAATTTAATAAAGTTATTGGACATTAGGAAAAACACCTTTATCGTTTTATTTGCATAAATTAAATTTTGCTCTGTAGAAAGTATTGAGTAAAATAAGGTTTACTTTTATTTATAGTTCTTTACTGACCAAACATCCTGCGGTCTGAGTCTAGTCTCCATAAAGGTTCTTGGGTCAAGTTATGGATAAGTTCCTGGGTCTACACTCCAAATCAAGTCTTGGGTCAAGTCTAAGGTTTAGGTCTAGGTAAGTTCCTAAGTTTCTAGTTCTAAATGTTCTTCGGTCTATTTTCCAGAAAGGTTCTCGGATCAGGTTTCAAGATACGCTCTTTGGAGTATTTTCCAAAAATGTTCCTGGGTCTTGTTCTAGGTAGGTCCCTGGAGCTAGTCTTCAGACAAGATCTTTGGTCGAGTTTACAAATAAGTTATTGAGTCCAGCTCCCACAGAAGTTCTTAGATCTAGTTCTGGATAAGTTTTAGGGTCTAGTTTCCACATACATTTTTGGATCAAGCTCCTTGGTGTGGTCTCAAAAAATGTTCTAGTTTACTAAAATGTTCTTGAGTCTAATTTTCAGATGGATTCCAGGGTCTAGTCCTAGGCTGGTTCCAGGGTCTAGTCCTAGACTGGTTCCAGAGTCTAGTCCTAGGCTGGTTCCTGGTTCTAGTTCTCAGTAAAAGTACATGTACAATAACAAACTGAGCTGCATCAGTTGGTGAATTTTTAACTCTCATCTTCAAATCGCTGTTAATCAAGAACAGCATAATATTTCCTCAGTTATGTTCCAGCTTGTAGTCCTGGTGTGCCACCCCAGGGTTTTCAGTGCCCCCCCCGCCCATGATTAGATTTCTGGAGGCGCCACTGTGTGAACCCAGCAGTGACGTGCGCTGGTTTGAGTCCTCCTAAGGAGGCTGTGTGAACAGATTTCCACCGTCTCGTCAAACACGAAGAAACAACAGTCTCCAAGAAACAACAGCCGAAAGCAAAACAGCTGAAGTCTAAACACTCATAATTGGACACTTAAAGGCTTCGGTGTGTGAGCGACACACATCTACAGCTGCGGTTTGGTTTCCTGCTAATTAGAGTGTTCAGCTGAACATTTACACAACAAACATTCAGCTTTCTGGTTCCAGCAGCACAAAGTTCATTTGTTCTTGTGCTGGTGAGGATTCTCACTCATCCAGAACACGTACCCCCCCCCCCCCCCCCCCCCCCACGCCCAAGTTAGAAATCAAAACAACTGGACTTTTGTTCTGTTCACTTCCTATCCCGGAAGTTTTCATGACTAAACGTCTGGAGTCGTTCTATAAACTGTTTTGTCTTCATTATTTTTAATTTAATCTAATTTCTGTGTAAAACATCAAAGAAAACGAGTTTGACAGGAATTAAAAACTTTGTACTTATTTAGAGTTCAGTTATAATTTGTAAAAACACAAAGCAGCTGCAGCTAGCCATAGCACTTCCTCTATGAACACTCACCACATAAAGTACAGTAGTAAAGTACTTGTATGTGAGTACAGTGTCTGTATGTTGAGTACATTATCTGTATGTGTGTACTAGTATGTGAGTACAGTACTTGTATGTGAGTACAGTATCTGTATGTTGAGTACATTATCTGTATGTGTGTACTAGTATGCAAGTACAGTACTTGTATGTGAGTACAGTATATGTATGAGAGTACATTATCTGTATGTGTGTACTAGTATGTGAATACAGTACTTGTATGTAAGTACAGTATCTGTATGTTGAGTACATTATCTGTATGTGTGTACTAGTATGCAAGTACAGTACTTGTATGTGAGTACAGTATATGTATGAGAGTACATTATCTGTATGTGTGTACTTGTATGTAAGTACAATATCTGTATGTGAGTACAGTATCTGCATATTGAGTACATTATCTGTATGTGTGTACTAGTATGCGAGTACAGTATATGTATGAGAGTACATTATCCGTATGTGTGTACTAGTATGCGAGTACAGTATATGTATGCGAGTACAATATCTGTATGCGAGTACAAACCAGATTCCAAAAAAGTTGGGACACTAAACAAATTGTGAATAAAAACTGACTGCAATGATGTGGAGGTGCCAACATCTAATATTTTATTCAGAATAGAACACAAATCACAGATCAAAAGTTTAAACTGAGAGAATGTTTCATTTTAAGGGAAAAATCTGTTGTTTCCAAATTTCATGGCGTCAACAAATCCCAAAAAAGTTGGGACAAGTCCATTTTTACCACTGTGTGGCATCCCCCCTTCTTCTTACAACACTCAACAGACGTCTGGGGACAGAGGAGACCAGTTTCTCCAGTTTAGAAATAGGAATGGTCTCCCATTCATGTCTAATACAGACCTCTAACTGTTCAATCGTCTTGGGCCTTCTTTGTCGCACCTTCCTCTTTATGATGCACCAAATGTTCTCTATAGGTGAAAGATCTGGACTGCAGGCTGGCCATTTCAGTACCCGGATCCTTCTCCTACGTAGCCGTGATGTTGTGATTGCTGCAGAATGTGGTCTGGCATTATCGTGTTGAAAAATGCAGGGTCTTCCCTGAAAGAGATGACGTCTAGATGGGAGCATATGTTGTTCTAGAACCTGAACATAGTTCTCTGCATTAATGGTGCCTTTCCAGACATGCAAGCTGCCCATGCCACAAGCGCTCATGCAACCCCATACCATCAGTGATGCAGGCTTCTGAACGGAGCGTTGATAACAACTTGGGCTATCCTTGTCCTCTCTGGTCCGGATGACATGGCGTCCCAGTGTTCCATAAAGAACTTTAAATCGTGACTCATCTGACCACAGAACAGTCTTCCATTTTGCCACACTCCATTTTAAATGACCCCTGGCCCAGTGCAAACGTCTGAGCTTGTGGAGCTTGCTTAGAAATGGCTTCCTCTTTGCACTGTAGAGTTTCAGCTGGCAACGGCAGATGGCTTGGTGGATTGTGTTCACTGACAATGCTTTCTGGAAGTATTCCTGAGCCCATTCTGTTATTTCCTTGACAGTGGCATTCCTGTTTGAGGTGCAGTGACGTTTAAGGGCCCGGAGATCACGAGCATCCAGTAGACTTTTACAGCCTTGACCCTTACGCACAGCGATTGTTCCAGATTCTCTGAATCTTTTGATGATGTTATGCACGGTTGATGATGATAACTTAAAAGTCTTTGCTATTTTACACTGGGTAACACCATTCTGGTATTGCTGCACTATCTTTCTGCACAACAATGGTGGAATTGGTGATCCTCTTACCATCTTGGCTTCTGAGAGGCTCTTTTTATACCCAATCATGTTGTCAATTGACCTAATTAGTGTTAATTGGTCTTCCAGCTGTTCGTTATATGCTCAATTTCCTTTTTCCAGCCACTTATTGCTACTTGTCCCAACTTTTTTGGGATTTGTTGACACTGTGAAATTTTGAATCAACATATTTTTCTTTTAAAATGTTACATTTACTCAGATTAAACTTTTGATCTGTCATCTATGTTATATTACAAATAAAATATTGACATTTGCCATCTCCACATCATTGCATTCAGTTTTTATTCACAATTTGTTTAGTGTCCCAACTTTTTTGGAATCCGGTTTGTACATTATCTATATGTGAGTACATTATCTGTATGTGAGTATAGTACTTGTAGAGTACTAGTATGTGAGTACAGTACTTGTATGCGAGTACCTTCCCTGGCTGAACACACAGTTGGTGTCGGCGTCGTCGAAGCCGTCGGGGTTCATCGTCGGCAGGATGTGGATGCGAGTGCTGTTCAGGAGCTGCAGGGACCAGGTCTCGTTGCCATGGTAACCACGCAGCAGCTCGTCGATCAACTGGAGCAGCAGAACCCGGCCGAGAACCTGAGGCGACAACAAACCAACATCAGCTGAAGGATAAGAGGACATTTAAATGTGGAAATGTGCAGGAAGGAACGGTCACAACATTCATTCAACCATTAGACTGGAAAATTTAAGTATGTTTGTTAAACAAACAAACAAATAAACAAACAAATAACTTTTATAATATTTATATAGTTTTTATAAGAATCTACACACAGAAAAAAATACCAACTATTTGATGTTTAAAGTGTATGACAAGTGTAAAGAGGACATGTTAAACCTTCTGCTAGTGGCTCATTAAGGTCACCATGGTAACCGCACACTTTTGTCTGTCACTTCCTGGCTGCAGAGAAACTGAGAGGCAGACAGAAGACCACAAAATAAGCCTTAAATAAACAGCTGCTGTGCAAAAACTGAGTCAGATTTGAAAACTTTTTGAACTTTGAGCGACAGAAGACTCATAACAAGCAGCTCGTGAATCAGCTGAAGGTTTTGATGAGAGTGGCTAAAATAACTGAAAATATTCAGAAGTAGTTTAATAACTAACAATGTCTGGACTTAAAGTTCGACCAGAAAACAACCGTAACAGTGCTTCAACGCTGAATGATTTGAATGTGATGAGTCTGTTTGTTTGGAGAGAAAAGTCGCTGCTGTTCAGTTTCTACCCAACATCCTCCTTGTTTTACTTCCTGTTCCCCGCAGAGAGAAACTGAGGTGATGCCGTGAGTCAGCGAGGAACACGATCTGCTGATGAATGGGAGGAAGGAGGCCGCCGGACTGAGCGGCGGGGAGTCGTGACTTTGTGAATGAATGAACGCTTCAGGAGGGAGAAAGAGAGAAGGGTGGGAACGGTGAGGAGGTGTGCAGATAAAACCTCTCACAAACACAAGTCAGGACTCGCTCTGCCCCCGGCCATCGTTCCTGCCTCCCGATCACTGGTCTGAAGTGAACACACCCGTTCAGGCTTCAGAGTTCACTCTGCTGACACGTTATTATTTATTTACCATGAAGACCTGGTTCTGTTAGGAAACTGTTTGTGTGTACACAAAGGCTGATACCTTACACGTCTGAGTCACAATGTTCTGTTGTTTTCCAAGAACACGTCAATCCTGTCGCTTTTTACAGCCGAGTTTTAAACAAGATCATCTCTCCGTGAGAGCTCATGAGACCTGTCCGAGCCAGTGTCTTGGGGATAATTCATTGTTCTTATCGGGACCTCGAGGTTCAGGTACCCAACAAAGAACCCAGTCCACATAAAACACAACAATGAGGTCATTCCAGCGCCGGCTGAAAAGGCGAGTTTAGAGGCAACGTTTGAAGAAGGTGGAGAGAACCTGAGGCATCCTGTACAGGTGAGCAGGAGGACCGAGGGGGGCGGGGGGTTCTAAATGTCAAGGAGCTCAAGGGGATGCAGATGAGTGCGGTTGATGGCCTTAAAACTCAGGCGTAAAATGCCATAAATAATGCAGCATATAAGAGGGAGCCAAGGGCGTAGCTGAAAGACAGATGAGACTGTGACACAATACTTAAACAGAGATGAGATGAGCGAGACATATTGTTTTTATGAGACTGGAATAAAAGAGTACTGTCACCCAGACTCCAAACCTGAAGGAAGGGAAACAGAGAGTTGTCAATAGAAGAAAAGAACTGTTTATCTTAGAAAGGATGAATTTAGACTTAATGAGAAGAACCGGGGTTTTGGCACCGTTGAGTTTGAGAAAGGTTTTAAAAACAAAACAGGTGCTATATTTCCAGATGTTAGATGTACCGGACTTAAGGTGCAGGAACCATGTTCTGGATTCGGTGATCATATTTACAGGCTGCATTCCCAGCACGGCCCCCTCTTACAAAGTTGGTTTAGGTCAGTCTGAGCACGCCGTTCTGTTCTCTGCAGTCTACTTCCTTTAGTCAGCTTTTCATGGGGTTTTGGGATGGTTAGGTGCTCTGTAGTGGTTGGGTGCTCTGTGGTGGTTAGGTGCTCTGTAGTGGTTGGGTG